AAGCATTCTTGCCTTTATTATATGAATACAAAATAATAAATTCCCTTCATTTAATGTAGTGTGTCTTTCCGTGCGTAGGTGATTGTGGCTCTCCACAGCTTCCTATCATTTAAAGTATTGTTGTCTCGAGAAAATAGAAAAATTTCATACTATTATTCGTTCACGATTTTATGGTTCGCCTAAAGAAACTAACTTCTGCAGCCAACAGAATCCAATGCATTTTATTAATATTCATTCATTTGCTTTCTTTTACTGTTTATCAACCGTTTGCAGGTTATTTAAAGCCAGAAAATATTTGAGATTGTATGAGTTTTTTTCGAATTAATAATATTTTAATGATTGAAATCTTAATAATCAATCCATAGCTGGGGAAGCAGAGATGAATTTATACATTTCCCAGGAGTATTTGCGTGTAAGTGAATATAAGGAACATTCCGAGCCATTATCCATTATACCACCCGTACATTTAAGCTTACAGCAGCATGGATATCCAATCGGTCAACTCCAGGAAAGGGCGATAACAGCGACTGGAGTTGTGAAATTTATTTTCCGGAATTTTTTTTTAAGAGAAAGATTTTATAATTTTCAACTGAAAGTGGTATTGGCTGTTCAATCAATAAAAGCCGAATGTTTCCTTATAAAGAATATTACCATTCCTGTGAGTACAATTTTATTTTATTTATAAATGGATCAGTTATAACAAATTTAGTACAGGAGAAAGAGAAATTGTACATAGAATAGGCTTCACTGGAGGTAGTTTTGCAGATTGCTTCAAAAACATTAATCATATTCTTAAATAGATTTGTCAGCTCCAAAATTTCATATGGATGTTGTACATAGTACCAAAATTGTTCAGAAATAGCTGAACTGTGTACAACCGCGTTCTCAGATCAATAGTTAAAAATAGCTTTCAGCAAGTGAAGTATGTGGGTCTTCGTGAAGACCATCCTTCTCTGGAACTTGAGAACTTGCAGTACAGAATCATAATTAAAGAACTGTACCAAATAACTGAAACCCAATCACTAGCGGACTTTTAACAACAACAACTAAAAAGGATAGCACATGTAATTTGAAGAGAAAATAATGACATAATTAAGATGTTTGCATTCCACACTACATGAAACAAAATGTTAGGAAGGAAAATTTCATCAATACTAGAAAGCGTGATAGTAGCTACTAGAACTCTATTTTCCTGAAAAAAAAAATCTAAGGAAAATATTTGATAAATATCAGCCGACAGTAGTACTGACGATATTCAGTCACCCCCCCCCCACGAGGGTGTCATGTGGCACAAGGCCTTTTTAACGTGGGCATTTCCGAGCCATTAGGCTCAGCCAAAAAAATAGCCCATTTGAACCCGTATAAACGGGTTCAGGGCCGGTTTTACCTCCCAGAAGGAGACTCCGCCATTCGGCGTAGCCTCATTCGGGTTCCTCCTGCCCGTAGGAAGAGAGTTCAAACCGAGCAGTCGGTTCAAAAGTGAACTGCTAACTGACTCAACAGTAGTACTGACTGATAGGTTAATGAATTGTAAATGTTTCCTTATTAGGAATCGGCTAAGATTTTTCTTTTTCCGCATCCTCATATTGTTAGATTTCGAAACATGGCACCGCATTTTCCAGAGCTAAAATCATGTACAAAGGCAAGAAAATGAAATGCCGTTAACAAATGTAAACTTCCCCTTAGGTAATAATTAAACTCATCCAAAGTTTAGCATTTTTTTTCCATTTCCCGCCAATAAAATGATGAAAGTTTTCAAGAAAAGAAACATGAAGACTTGTCTAACTTATTTCTGAACGCCTTTATTCCTAAAATATTCTAGTAAATGAAACAAATAATTATCGAAAACTGATATTTCTCCTAAATTTCCTTCCCTGGATGAAGCCTTGCAATGTTATGCTGGAAGTTTAAACAGTTTTTTTATTCACCAAATCTTCGCATTTTTAATAAACTATTGACTTATTCAAATCGTTAACAATAAACCTCTGCATTACTACTTTTGCTCCATGATTCAGTATTCACCCTTTGTGCAAATTAAATGAAACAAAACGAATAGTTCCTTTATTATTTCCTTTTTTTTTCGTATTTTTCTAAAAATACATGCCCAAGTGCATATGTTAGTACTTCGTATGACCATTCCGCGAAGTCGTACCTTGCAGATTGACTACAGATTCTCGATTGGATTTAAATCAGAAGAGTTTCTGGCAAAGTCTATAATACTTTGATTTGCTCACTGGTAAGACTTGTCAGTGTGTTAGTGAAGCGTTACACTTTTCGTAGGTTTCCATGGAGTAAGGTCCATCGCAGAGAATGGCTGTAGGACAACTAATCGACAGCTGAGACAGTAGTGTTTGGACACGATAAAAATCTGATGCGATGACGCAATATTTTTCAAGCCCAAACAAACTTCATCACACACTTCGAAAATAGATTCATATTCCTACACACCACTGCAAATGATCTAATCTGAGGAAAAATAGAACCGATTACACCCTGTCACTTCAGTTGGTCTAAAACTGAGCGTATAGTGAAAGAAAGGAAGCTAAAGCGGTTGTTTCGATTAATTTGCACAAGGATGTAGTTTATTGCAGACGATAGCTGTGCCTCCGGGATTGACTTCATATGGTTAGTCATAAGAGACAACGAGTTTGACAAACTCAAATAGCCAAACTGAATACAACAATGTGAAAGTGGAAGTGTTATTAGCAATAAAGACTAACTACTGCTGACCCTATGGATGATATTTTTCATTTTGTGCATGAGAACAAGTTTCCTTTAGGTGTGGGATCCATTTAGCTTTTCTTGTAATCGGAATTGCTACAAGATGATTTAATTTCTGATTAGTAAACTTGAATATCTTTGAAATCTGAGCTCCATTCTGTAAATTTTCACCTTAGATCTTTTTTCTAATTGTTACGTTTTATTTCAGTATATGTTAACAGGTTTCATTTTGTTTTAATCTCCAGTCTCCGCTAAAGCCTACATGCAAATGATCTTGATCAGTTGAATCACTGCCAACATTTTTTATCTTGCTGAACAATCACAGGCATTGGTATAAGCTTACCAATATCTAACATATATTTTCTAGTGTTCATTTTTTATACTAAAGTTCACCCAATACAAAGTTCGAGAGGTACTCAAACTAGAGTCATACTGAATGAATTGTGGGATACGAATATAAGAAAGGTGGTAGGAATTAATTATTGTGAGAATAAGAAAGATAAGTGATGATTGATTTCTGACATAAAATAGTTATGGTTGAATTATTTGAGGAAGCATCCGCAGATGAATATTTCATTAGGTATGAGTTCTTGGAAATATGTAGTATGAGAAGGATTTTCTTCTTAAAATTTGAATACAGAAGAGATGACAGCGAGTTATCTCGGTGGAGGTAACATGTGTTATCCTAGCTTTAAATGTATGAATTGAGAGAAATAAAAAATGGTATGCATCTGAACATTTGCGATGGAAAGAGGGATAGATATTAGATATACGCTTACAATGTTGCATCTGTGTTGTAGGTTAGAAAATAGGTCCTACGTTTAAGACAGCATAAAAGCTTTTGAACCCTGTCGAAACAGGAAACAGAAAAGTCAGGATTGGGAGTCTACAGCACAGATTTGGTGTAAATAAGTTATTGTTGATTTAATATGTCTCTTTTAAAGATAGAGTATGTCAGGAGGAGACGACAATTTTTCTAGAATCTTTAGTAATGAATCATATATATATATATATATATATATATATATATGAATTCCACTATAGGTCTAGAGTGAAACTGACAATAATAAACAGTCAAAGCATAGAACAACGTTGAGAGTGTAACCTTTTCCGTGACTAAAGAAAATTCAGCTTCTAATCGGATAGAATAAAATGATATTACGGACTTCATTAAAATGCGTGCAGCGTGCAATGGTGAATATAACACTCATTAAATTTATTATCTCCTAAGAGGTTAAACGCTAACATAATTCACAATCAATTGACAGCTTGCAAGAAGAAATATGAGTATTTATTATCTTTCTCTATGTGGGTAAATCTGATATAACACCGAGCCAACATGAGTTTTTAAATCGCGTATGTGTGAATAAAGCCATAAATTATCAAGTTTCATTGATTTGTTTCCGTTAGAGCAATGGATACTTGCTGCTTGAAAATCATCCCAACTCAGATAAAATCATCCCAACAAGAAGATTCACGAATCAGTTTATGTTATCTTCGTCTCAGAAGAATAACGTTGATCAAATCCTTAAGGCGCGTATATATAGCAAAATTGAACTAAATCTGGATCTTCATATTATTTTGCTTAGATCTCACAGGGGTAAGTTGCTTCCATGTTTCTTTCTGACTTCTCTCTGGCGTTCGAGGTATCCCTAAATCGAAGATTAAATTCTTTATCATCAATTGTCAGTATCCGGCCAATGAGTGGGTATGGGCTTGTAACATTGAATTACCCCAAACCATAGGAACGTATCATCGTCAGGAAGAAGACCTACATTTTATTTAATTAATGATGATATGTTGTACACTTAATGAAAGTCTTTTTTTAAGAATTTCGCCCCAAGCAAGGCGAGAATGCCAGTAGCACGCAAGGGTTTACACAGAGTGAGAGCAAGAGAAAAGTGGGTTTTTGAGGAAAGGATATAGAGGAAGACGGGGATCAGGATCAAGTTATCAAAAGATGTCAAATGATATTACATTTGAATATTTGAAGATTATAGCTATCAGAGAAGCAAGTAAGAGGAAGGGAGTTCCACTGTCAGGAAGTGCGAGAGAAGAAGCTGTTGGGGTAGAAGAGGCAGTTACATTTAACTGTTTCAACAGTGAAAAGATGGGACTGAGATGCCAACCTAGTAGCACGCTTAAATCCATGCAGTTACCCCAACTGCAATGAAAGTAGCTCGTTAGAGCAGTTGGCATGAAAATATTTGAAGAAAAGAAAGAGGGAAGCCATAGTTTGTGAGTAAATGACTGCAGAGGAGATGTTAGATCAAGACCTAATGGAGAAAGCCTATTGGGATCAAGCTCATTCCGGTCCGCTCATTCTATCCCACCAGAACATACTTGTCACCCCCATCAACTCTCTCTCTCTCTCTCTCTCTCTCTCTCTCTCTCTCAAAACGTTTTTACGGACTAGTGGTTTGATCACTTATATTCCACCATACAACCAGAATCGGATTTCTCGATCTTCAATCGATATTTTCATGGAAAGTGTTCAGACGAGCTACGTTCATTCGTATCACAATTCCAGACCTTCATAACAAGGACATTATATTGTATTTCATTGATAAGGGTTCAACTCACACTGCTTCTTTTGCAGAACTCTTATATTGTGGAAGTGTCTACCGAAGATTTCCACACCAAACACAATAGGCGTAATGTCTTCAATTTACAGTTAACATATGCTTACATTATGTACCAATGACAGTGTCATTAATTCTCTATTACAACATTTTTCACTAACTCTCATCTTCCTGGTTGAAGAAAAGCTATAAAAATATTTCTACGTAAAATACGCTCTTCAAATTGTGTCGATGAGAGTTCTTCAGAATGAGTGTTCCGCAAATTAAGGGTTCCACAGAATGTGGGGTTCTTCAGAATGAGTGTTCCACAGAATGATGGATTTCAGAATGAGGGTTCTACAGAATGGGTTTTTTTCAGAATGAGGGTTCTACAGAATGGGTTTTTTTCAGAATGAGTGTCCACAGAATGAGGGTTCTTCAGAATGAGTGTTCCACAGAATAAGGATTCTTCAGGATAAGGGTTCCACAGAATGAGGATTCTTCAGAATGTGTGTTCCACAGAATGAGGGTTTTTCAGAATGGGGGTTCCACAGAATGATGGAGTTCTTCAGAATGAGTGTTCCACAGAACGATGGTGTTTCAGAATGAGTGTTCTTCAGAATGATGTTTCTTCAGAACGAGTGTTCCACAGAATGAGGGTTGTTCAGAATGAGTGTTCTTTAGAATGAGAATACCCTTTGACGGAAACTGTTAGCAACGAGGAAGTTTTAAGCAAAAGTGTAAAGAAATTCGGTTATACTTAGAATCAGAAATAGATAAATGAAATTTCTGGAACAGATAAAGAAGAAAGAGTGCTTGGAAAATTTAACACTCACAAGCAACATTGAAGGCGAGAAGAAAACTGCGAATAAGCTATCTAAAAAGTTTATATAAATAGATAAAGAATTAGAGATTTACAAAAACTCAGACACTTCAGCAAAACGTTTGGAATGTCACTTGGCGTAAAGATATGCGCAAAGTTGGTAATGTACAAAAAACGGCAAAAGAAACTAAACCACCAAACGATGAAATAATAAAGACACTGTCGGAGTAAAACAAGAATCAATAAAAACTGGATTCAGTTCAAAAGAAAAGAAATGGAAATTGAAGTAAAAAGGCGGGAAAGGACCAAAAGGATAAACATTAACTGTACATATGAATGGATATTGTTATAGAATCCGATGAATCTCAAATAGGTGGCATATGAGAACATCAACAATTCTAGTTGTAGTTGGAGCCCTCGGATTGATTGGAAAAGGTTACAATAAACTTATTGAAAGGATTCCTCGTAACCAATGCCTTAAAGAAATACAAAAAATTGTTCTCACGAGTACAGCCCACACCTTACGAAGGGCTTTTATCTGTGTAAAATATGTGTTTTTTTGTTGTTGTTTTTTTTAATTGCTCAGTGGAAAATGTTATGACTCCATTTCTGACCTTAGGTTTCTCGTCGGGACCCAAGAAGAAATGAGTATACACCAGAAATCAAAGCAGATAATAATAATAATAATAATAATAATAATAATAATAATAATAATAATAATAATAATAATAATAATAATAATAAACTACGAGCTGACGCACTGTGCATCTCTGTTTATGGAAAAGTGGCCGAATATCGATAAGGTTTTAGCTTTTTTTTTTTTTTTTTTTCTTTTTTTTTAAAGTTTGAAGGCTGGGTCAGCGAAGATGATTTGGAAGCCACATCAGGATACTTGGGTACACCCTCAAACTGAGATCGACTGAGCGGTTTGGGTTACTCGAATGCATTTGTCTGGTATACACTTATCAAACTGTGTGTCATGTCGTTATATCTGCTTTCGTATATTTGTTGTCCAGCGTTACTTTATTTGCATACGACAACCTCACTAAATACTAATAATAATGTCATAGCAAATAATATTATGGCGTCGGGCTCAATGTATATTATATAGTTTTATGAATATGATTCTATGCATGGTTAATTTCTAAGTGTAGCTTATATATGGCACAAGGCCAAAAGTAAGGGGCAACCAGAGAGGATCGAATTCACTAATAGCTCTACGTATATGTACATAGGTGAAAAAATATCAATTTTAGGCAAGACTTACAGAGATAGTCAATTATTTCCAAGACGGCAACCTTTTTCCCCACAGAAGTAACAAGGCAGGCTTATCGTTATTTCCATGGCAAATATGAAGTTCCATTCTTTTGTTTCACCAGATCAGATATTTATTTTTCGGGCACGCCATGTTGTATGGGATCAAATTATACTCATTTTCTGTGTAAACAAATTACAAGAACAATGTTACAGAATTTTTTTGTCTCTCTCTCTAAGTAATTCAACTTTATAGAACAAATTTCAGTGTGAATGGTTCCCTAAAAACTTCTTCTAAACTCTTCACGTCAAGGGCCTATCGTTATCTGTCCTTCTTATTCGCATAAACTTCACGTCCTATTACTCCTCTTTTTTCATCATACACATTTTAAATCTAATACCCTAACTTGAGTGGCTCCTTGGGCTTGTATTGTGCTAAATTTAGTACAAAAGATTATTCCATTTATTTCTTTGATTTTCATTTCAAATTTAACCGCTTTCTTAAAAAAATAATGATATTAAATTATTTTTAAATGCTCAATTTGGAAAATTTGGGTACCAGATTTTATCATATTAATACAAACTGCTTTTTAGAAGAAAATAGATACAGCCCACATACTTATATATATATATATATATATATATATATATATATGTGTGTGTGTGTGTGTGCTCGCGCGCGCGTTTCTGTGCGTATTTACAACTAATTGACTGCAATGTCCCATTTTACTGAGTCGAAGTTCAGTAAACAGTGCTAGATGAGTAAATGTTATTTACATAGGGACTCTATCCGCATCTTTGTTATTATTATCGAAACGTTGCGGTTGTTGTGATCCCCGGTCTTCTGCAGTGCCTGTCGATCAACATGTAGTTTCGAAATTTAATCTACGGAGATAAATAGAGTCCCTCAATGTAGATCTATGATAGTGTTACAACTATGATATAACTTTTTATTCTTGTCTTAGCCGGTTTGATAATATAAAATTATCAGCTGATCGAAGAAAAAATGGTGGACAATCTCTTGTTAACTTGGACAAGAAATGGCATGTTAATCGCAACACGTCTCCGAGGAAATTTTAATCGCCTTAGAGAATCGTTTCTGCCTTCCATGCTATCCTCCAAGAAAATGACTTATTTCACATTTTCGGGCTGTTTTCCGCTGCCATGTGGGGAATCAAATATATTGAGTTAACTGCAGGGTCTACTGATAGGAATGCTGTTTCAGTGTGCATTTTTTCTCACCAGAATCTATCTTCCACATATATAAGTCAATGCATTGGCCCATCTGGTCGAATGCTTTTGATAAGAATTTAGGGATTTTAGATAAAATTTGAATAAGAAGCTGCAATGTTATCAGGCATGACCTGGCATCTCTATTCAATCACTTTCCATCCACCGTAACATATTTTCCCTGTGATTTTGCATAAATATTTTAATGGTAATTGTTCTGAATGGTTTTCCTCCTTGGTACTTCGACTGTACGAATTTAAGCGCAGTACTAGTTTGGTAGATAGGTCTCACCATTTTCCAGTTGAAATTGTTAATTGTAACCGTACGTTCTATTCAAATAGTTTATTTCCTCATACTACTCATATGTGAAACTTCTCTAGTCTAGTCAATATTAATCCTCAAAAATTTAAATGCAATGTCAATCGTCTTCTTCAGTTATCTTAATTCCTATTGTTTTATTGTTTTCTCGCCTCAGTAATGTTTTCGTTTCTCATATTATTTGGCACTCTTCTTTGGGGGCGCAGTTGAGTAATGGATAACGGCAGCGATTGAGGACGTGGAGAGACGAGTTCGAATTCCAGTCAAGTACATTACATTCATGTAGTTTCTAATAACCTTGGGAAAGATATGAATACATCTCGTCTCCATCAGCTATGGGTAAATAGTAAGACAGACTGGGTTCTATACCATTGGGTGGCAACATGTATAGGAGAAGGAAAACTGATACCAGCCAGGAAAGGGTTGGGCTCCTTTAGGCTATGTTGCCCAAGACACACTTCTATACTGGCTGCATTACATGTCGTGTCTCTTCAACTCTAACGTTACGGAACACGTGAGCCTCTACTGTCTTAGGGGTTTTATTGCCTTACTTGGGGTGAAATGATAAAAAATAAAAGATTCTTCTCGAACGTCAATCCTAGTAATCTTTCGTCTTTTTTTTATTCCTCTTGCCGTCTTCACTGAGTCCCTGTCTCGACTACTCTGCATAGGGATTGAACTCAGGATTACTTAATACACAAATGAACAATTTAATCTTCTAGATTACTGCCCTGCAATGGAACTGAGGCTATGCAAATATAATCACCGTTAATCTTGGCATGGACTCCGCTGGAGACGTTGTATATTTAATTATATCTATTGAAGAAAACCCTGATCTTATGATGACACATATAAAAGAAGGAAGAATGAATGCCAAGCGAGGCATTTGGCCCTGTTATATAACAACTGACCAGTGTTGTTAGCAATCTTGTCGTCTAGTGTAAGTCTCTTTTGAAAAAAAAAACTATTTGTACTTAACAGGTCTTGCTCAATGCCGGGAGATTAAACTCATGCAAGGATTCTATTAGCACAAACTGAATAACCGAAACTACATTTGTCCTAACATCGCCACTTCAAAGTTTGTCAATATTTGACAAAACGAAATTAAGTTGGAGTCAACCCAATGTCTACCTATTCCATGACCCAGTTGTACTTACTGACTGACTATACGATGCCAAGGTACACAAGTGAATGCATCCAATATGAAAGAGAAGAAAATTTAATCTGGATTCATTTATTGCTGATGTAACAAGAGAGTTTGGGATTAACTATTCCATTACGCTATTTAGAAATCTCAAAGAAAATGGACGATCGTGAACGAAGAATCAAATTTGATGCATTCGCAATTGATATAAAGATCGGCATTTTAAATATCTATAAGAAAACAGCGTTAAAGTCTTAAAAGTGATTTTCAAAGTACATTTCAGCAAAAATCTATCAGTATCTGATGTAATTTAATCTTTAGGGAATTATTAAATAAAATCCTTATCAAACGGCGTGCCTCTAAATATTATCTGAAAGAAAGTGTTGATGTAAATAATATTTTCAATTATGACTATTACAAATAAATAATACTTCAACTAATTTACGCATATCTCAATCTGTTAATATCTATCTATCGATCTATCTATCTAAATTTGTTCCTATCTATCTATCAATATATCTCAACCTGTTCATATTTCTCAATATATCACAATCTATTCATATCTATATATCTCAGTTTGTTCATATCTATCTATCTATCTATCTATCTATCTATCTATCTATCTATCTACGTTTGTCATATCCTATTTATCTATTTATGTTTATATCTATCTCAATCTGTTCATATATATCTATCTCAAACTGTTCCTATCTCTATACTCTATATATCTCTATATCTCAATCTGTTTATATCTACCTATCTATCTGTTTCAAACTGTTGATAATTATCTGTTTATAACTGTTGATATCTATCTGTTTCAAACTGCCGATATCTATCTATCTATCTATCTATCTATCTATCTCAATTTGTTCTTATATTTTAAAGATGTAATAAATATAAATCCATTAATACTTTTGTCGTCGTCATCTTCTTCTTTGTGGCATGTCCCTTAAGGATTGGGGTCATGATTCCTAGAAATACGTATTATCTCTAATTCTATTAAGTCAACTGAAAAAAAAAACTTATTTTGTTCTGAAAAAAAATTAAATACAATGTTAATCGCCATCTTCTACCTTTTTAATTCCTGTTATTTTACTGTTCTCTCGCCTTCTTTCTTTATTTTTATCATATTGTCTAACACTCAATAACACCTGCCATCTTAGTGGCTGTATTGCCTTGTTTCGGGTGAAATGATTTACAAAGAGGCCAATTTATCACTTAGTATCTTCCTATTCGAAATGTTTTCATCTTAGATTTTACTTTGATTCTAACAAAATATTCTTTATATTTTCTCAGTTTATTCTATGGATATTTAAAATATTTAATTTGTTAATCTATAGCGACTTTTGCCTGCGAGTAATTCTTTTTTGTTTGTAACGTTCTTTTTTAAAACTATTATTTCAAATACTGATTTTCTTTTCCAAAATTGTGAAAAGCAAATTGCGATTTTAGGTCAAGTAAAAGTGAGTGTGTGTTTCAGAAGTGTATTCGCTTAAACGTTTGTCTTAAAGCAATTCGTACGTTTTCAAGATTGAATGAATTTTTAGTCCGTTATTCTTGCCTCCAGGTGTGAAGACGTTCTTTTATAGTTGATGCCAAGAACAGCGATGTCTTTCACCACATTTTGTCTCTTTGATAAGCGTGTTTTGTTCAATTTCTAAGAAGTTATTTAATTTATTTATTCTTCGTTTAAATAGAAAATGAGACTGATAGGCAGTGGAAAACTATCCACGATAAGCACACACGGAAGATCATGTTGTTATATATTCACGCAAACTTTTTCTCACACGCATCGTCTGTAGATACAGTCCAAGTATTTGTGTATTCATTGCATTAAAATATCCACCATAACAATAATAAGGTTAGTGGGTACGCAATTATATCGACAGTTATGCACATACGCATAATATATTTTTTTAAATTGGTATCACCCAACTTACGGCTACATCTAACCAGCTCAACTGTAAATTGATGAGACCTCACCGCCAGTCTAGTACTGCGCTTAAATTCATGAAATCCAGGTACCATAGCGAATAGCTCATCCGAGCAATTAACATGAAATTATTTATAAAAAGGCCACAGAGAGGCAATTTTATGTCGGTAGGCAGTGAGTGAAGCCGAGCCGCCCGATCAGGACCAATAATATTGCTGATTTTCTTTGGATCTTATCAAGAAGCTCCAGGTAAATAGCATGGTCACCGAACTACAGCAATATTATAAGTATCGATGAATGGTAGTGTGACGTCACTCTGTGCCTCTGCCCCCGTGCTATCTTGTGACGACCAATGTGACTTGGTATTGGTCGTGACGCCAAATGTGACGTTCTAACCCTTGGCTGATTTGGATGGAAAGCTGGTTAGATTCGGTATCAGCTTTGTCGTTCCCAGCTCGCCTCCAACGTCTGGTTACCGAAGTAACTGCCTTGATTTCTAGTCTAACCTACCCACGTTGTTATTTGATCTTAGGTAGACGAAATCAATCAGTCGTCGGGCCGTAGTGCAAGCCGAATTCGAGCAAAGTTGACACTACACAAGTATATGTAAAGGAAAATAAAGTAACAACTCGAAAGATTCAAATGTGTTAAAAGAAGAATAACAAATATTTTTATATCTGGTTGCTGAATACAGGACTGCATCTTTCTCCCGAACCACTTCTATGGATACGTGACACTTTGCGTTTGTTAGGCGAGTCTTAATATCTTAAGTTGTTTTTCAAGAAACTGGTTTTTGGTGTCTTCAGGTGATATTCGTAAAACTTGTTTTGGTGGTGTGAGTCTAAATCGTTCTTCAAAAAAAATTGTTTTTAGTTAGAAGTCTAAGTCGGAATGCATGGATGTCTTTCAGTCCGCTCCTGCGAGGCTGGTCTGCGAGCTCACAGCTCAACTCTGTCTGCGCTCTCACTCTCTCTGCTTCTGCCCAACTGCCGCTGCCTCTGCCTTGTAACTCCGTTTATATGGACGCCGACCAAAACCGGGTGGGGGCCTGTCGTGGTTTGGGTTCCTCGATAATTCCAAATCCGCAATAAGGATTTTCTTTGTTTTCAGACAGGAAAATTTATCACTTTCCATTTTTGGAAGTCCATTACTTTCTGTTTTAGAGGGGTTCTTAAGGGAATTGTCCTCCCAAATTCTTCCTTTCTCATATTGGTATCTCACACCATTTCCCTCAGAGGGAGTCAACCGGTTTCCCTTCTTTCTCATAGTGGTATCTCACACCAATCCCCTCAACAGGTTCCCCTTCTTTCTCATATGTTTACCTTCACCCATCGCTCACGCCATCATTCAGCCAATGAACGCTCGGCAGTGTGGGTGTGGCTAGCCACAGTTTACAATTATCGCTCAAAGAAAAAAAAATTATCTTCCTTTTTCTTTTCTTTCTTTTCCCCGACTGGGACCCCCATGACTCGTAGTGTGGTCATTAAGCCTCTATCTTAACTGAATGTCATCTGGAAATCATCAACGAGATTATCGTCAAGTGATTATCAGAATCTCCTTGTATCCTCAACGCCTTCGTACTTCTGTCACCAACAATCCGTCCAGATAACAAACTTTTATCATGGCAAGGTCTGGACATAAATCAGGTGGTCCCTTTCCAAAACCAAATGATATCTCCGAAAAATAGTTAATGGTTGATTCTTTTCTTTTTTCTCTTCCTCCTCCATTTTTCTTTGGGGTGGTCTCAGCTGATCCCTTTCTCGGTCGATGCTCGACCTAAATCTGTTTATCTTCTAGCATTTCGCGTTTGGAAGCCACTTGACCAATTTGAAATTTTCATTATTGCCATGGGCAGATTGCTTTCTTTTATTCGCCGCGTCATCGCATAAATTAATTCTGACAGATCCGAGATCTTACGAATTTCCTATCTTCTGCAAAAAAAAATACTTTTTTGCAAATGAAAATAAAATCTTTACCACTTTTCTTTTGTTAAAAAAATATAACATCGCTCAGTATGTCTTTCGTGATAGCGCCTTAAGTATTTCTCGCTTTTAATTTCCACGCTTAATTAGTTAGCCAAACGCTAAATAGTGTCACAGTAGACTTTTAGATCTGCAAGATAGATTCCGGAGAGAAAAATGTCTCGCACGGCACAGTGAATCGACTTTCTTACCAGTTGACCTGGCAATTGATTCAATATAATCTTTCCATTTCATGTCAGCTGAGATCGTTAGCCATGATAAATGCAGTTGTCTGGCCTGATGATTGCGTCTAGTTTATGCGTCTCTGGGTGTTGAGTTCAATGATCACTTTTATTTAAATTGGCGAGAGCCATGATTGCTAATGTCTTGAAAGGACATGGCACATAGAAGATGTAAATTATTACAAATCTCTTCTAAATTTCTAATTGAGAATCTTCACCCAGCAAAATAAACCTGTTAAGGTAGGCCCTAATCCTACATGAAAAACAGAGTACTTTTTTAAATATCATAAATCTTTGGGTTATTCATCCTCCAAATTTGCAATAAAATATAGACAATTTTATTTAAGAAATTGTGTAATTATTGGCCTTGTTCCAAAATTTCAGCTGTTTTAATCTCCTTTTGTTCATGATTATCAGAAAGATTAATAAAAATGCAGAAAGCTCTACACATAGAAGCGGTTCGGGAGAAAGATGCAGTCCTGTATTCGACACAATGAACTGTCATTCTTAGCAGCTGACCTAACAATGGGTTCAATATAGTCTTTCCATTTCATGTCAGCCCGAGAAAAATAACAAGTGACTTTCCAGGAGATGATTAATGGAGAGAAGTTTAGTTTTGGAGGCGTTAAAATTGACAGTGTAAATAGTAATTTCGACTGCGTAGGGAAGTTCGTTAACGAAAAGTAAAAACAGGTTACGACCAAGGACCGGTCCCTGGCGGAAGCCCGCGTTAGTGCGAAAGAATCTAGACTCGTGGGCATTCAGGATAATTTTTATTACAAGATTTAACAGGAAAAACTGGATCAGACCAAAAATGATCCCGGAGAAACCGTAACTTTGTGAAGAAGACTTGAATGCCAGTCCCTGTCAAAGGTTTTCGACTTGTCTAATGCTACAGCCGAAACTTCTCCGTTTTTATTTAGAGTATAGCAGGGTATTTCCGCAATTATTGTTAGTACCTCAGCGGTTGACCTGTAGAAACGAGGGATGTAGTGCTTGTCTGATAAAACGTCCTGCGATAGGAGATGATGAACCAATTCAGTATTAATTAGGTCCTATAGAAAAATAGACGATGACTTTCAGAAGGCAGCGAGGAATTTAGTATACAGTTTACGGGAGCACACTTCTACAGGGTATCATCGGGTCCATATGTTTTGAGGAGATCAAGGTTAGAGATGATAACAGAAAACATGAAAACGCTTATATGCATATGATTCAACAGAGATTCAGTTTTATGTGGGAAATTCTTGCAGGGATATTCCAGATGAGTCAATAGTAGAGTTTAAGGAGAATTTACTGACAAAGGATTCAGTTTTATCAGCAGAGGATGATAACACCTCAAATGGATTGAAGAAGCTGGATTAGAGACCTTGCACTTATTTTTAGTACTTATAGTATTTATAGAGCCGCCAATCATCACAAGAATCAAAGTTGTTAGACGTTATGTAGAGTTTCATTCTCTTATCAAATGGGGACTTTGATCTATCGAGGATTCGCTTGCATTTATTACGAGCAGTAGAGAATATGCACCTATTATTCCGAGAGTTGTCACGCTGGTATAGCCGGAAATAATGGTTCCTGTGTGCTATGACGGCCGAGCATGATGGTGTCAGTTTTGACTTGGGTAGTTGAAAATGACAGTTCAAAGGGATTCACCAATAAAATCCAGGAATGAGTCCCAATTTGAACGCTGCAATCTGAAAGAGGTTGTATGGATAAGGGGTTCCTGTTTAATTGAGGCTTGGAACAAAATATCACTAGCTATCACAGAATTGTCCGAGGGTCGTATTTTGAATCTCGGCAAGGGCGTGTAGAAG